CAGCCTGACGGGTCCCCCGCGCGTTGTGCGGCTCAACGTACTTGTTGTGTATCGTTACCTCGGATCTCTCTGCCTCGCTGTCCCCCCGCCTCCTCCTCATCCAGTGTTCATCCTTTTTGGCCATTGGCCTTACTTACCAATCTTTTCGAGTCAGGTTTTTTTGCTTTTGCGCTCTAGTCTTTTTAGGAATGCTGAACGTCGAAGCAAATGAGTAGCAGGGGTTTCGTCCGGTGAACGAGCAAGATCCCATGTATGTGGTTCATAATCTGACCGTTTTTTGTGCAATACACATTTTACCCGCCAACAGTCTTTTTGCGACATGAAGTTTTTGTTTTCTTCATTTGAGTTTGCGGTTGGCGCACAGTTTTTCTTGTTTGGACTGTACCCAGTCTATCGGTATTGCTTCTTTTTGCTGCGCGCTGAACATGTCAGTCTTGATTGCTTTTGGCCTATCTTTTATTTTTTGTTTGCGGAGCTAAACTCCGTGTCGAATGATTGACGATACGTAATGATCGTGGGGCCTGGTCGGTGTAAGCCAACATGTCGCCATTGTCTCTGTCTCTGTCTCGCTCGCTACTTTTTCTTCCTTGTCGCGTTCACTATCATAGGCTTGGCGGGATGGTCGGAGGCTATGTTGCATCGACTCTAGGGCATTTCATCGATCAAGTTTAGTCGCTCCGTTGGTTCCCCACTCACACTTTTTTCCCTCCTTCCCTGCCTCCCATGCCTCTTGCTTTCTCCACAAGCGGGCCCTGCATCGTCCTGCGAGGGCCTTGCCGCTGCGTATCTTTTTGCCAAGCTACGTTTGCACCCGGCGTTGGGCCAGAGGAAGCAGGTGCTGCTGGGGTTCGATGTGTAATGTGGCTGAACCCTTCTTCTGCAGGTGGTCCTTGGCCTAGGTCCTTTGCCTGGCGCGGTGGCTAATCGCGGGTTTTACTATATTATCCATCCATACACATGGCGCTGCGTCATTGACTGGGCGTTGGACATGGCCTGATGGTCACCTCCACTCTTTGTGCAGGATTCATCAACATCACATGAAGGCATAATTGGAAGATTTCAGTAAACGGCAGATGTGGAAGTGGAAATAGGTGTGCAGTTGATGATGCATTGTTGGTGCAGACCAATCGCTGGTAAGCTAGCTCTCTGGTGAACCTGTGAGGTGATGTATCATTACTCGTGGATAGCACCGTATCTCACATCCGATCGGGTTGGTTTCCTTTGTTCCCGTCCTAAGCCCTAAACTATACAGCAAGTAATACAATTGGTTTACATAAACCAGGTGAACGTTTGAATGCAAGAATACATATAGACCCCATCTCTCATATATGAGGTGAGGTTTAACGAGGCTGTTGCTCCTAAAGTGGTACTCACAAGGGTTGTAACTCTGAGTCCAGGACCACACCTATTGGTCGTACCCAGGGGGTTGCATGAGCCGCATCCGGGTGGTGATGGCCCTGGAGTGAACGCCTGTCTTTCTGCTAGCGCTCCATTCTATGCTGGAGCAGCAGAGCAAAGCCGCCAGAGCGGTTAGGGTGATGAGAGTGAAGCTCTTCATATTGATTGAGAAGAAGATAAGGTAACATGCGAGTACATGTGGAAGAACAAAGGAGAAGACTGTTGTGATGTTGAAATAGACGCCGATATACTTTTCTTGTAACGCAACAGTAATGTCTTATAGTTCTCCATCATTTCTGCTTACCTTTTCCAAACCAGGTCTGTACAGACTTTCGGCACCGGTGTAAGCAATGAATTTGACCAAGTCACTACACAACACCTTGAACGCGGTCTTTTTCGTGCAGTACAGTCCTTGCAAACCAAACTCCGTTTCGTAAGATACACAGTAGGGCCGTCAAGAGAAGGGCCGCAGATTTACACGGTCCGATGCTAATTGATCGACTCAGTAGCTTTGATCGCACAAACGACGTGGAGAACTCGGCAGTTGTAGTTGATGAATGATTTCATATGCCACGTCTGCAAAAGTATGGTACGCTACCGCTGATAATGAGGTATCGAAAGAGCTCTATAATAACTAAAAGGAGCCCCTAGCGTTAGCAAAGCTAGTTTTCTTTAGGTCTGCGATACGGAGTGGTAGATAGTAGCTACAGTTGGCTCAGTTCTCTTTTCCCTGTGTGTTTGCGGGTCTGAATAATCCCGACTGGATGGGCAAAATACAATTGTAGACATGGTGTATATCCATTTGTCCGGTGTGTAGCGGATTATAGTTTCACATACTTACTTGGTACATGACCCGGTAGTGATTGAATGCCTAATCTACTAATGTGTTTAAAGCCTAGACTGTTGTGGATTTCTGCGTCGTAACTCAACACCGCGTAGATCTTCTTGGCATTATGCGCTATGAAATCTGACACGCATATATGCAGGAGGTTGACATTTCTTCTTTTATGTTCAAAGTGTGTTCAGCATTCAATATCTCATCTATTGCACGATGTGCTCACCGGGTTAGCGCCGCTGATAGGGTCTTGGCGTTCCATTCACGCTTAGTGCTGACCTTTGCTGGATGCAGTATGCAAGAGTGCAGTTCAACGCTTTCTTCTAGTGTCTATATGTTCAGGGTTTTATGTTGTTGGATAAGCGGTGAGTTGCTGATGCTTTTAATCATGAAGGATGGAGATGCGATTGGATGGTTCGGAAGGAACGAAAAGCCCGTATCTAGCCCTTGGAGCAGGGTTGAGAGGTGTGAGATAATTACGGAGTCTGAGTATCTATTTTTGTAGGATGGAGTTCATGTTCCCCATTCATTTCGCTTGTTGCTGTTGTCTTTATTCTTTTCCAGGCCTTCATAGCTAGTTCTGTCACGGTACTATGGCCAAGGTTTTTTATTCGTAGAGGGGCGTCTCTGTAGTCACAAGCCATGGTCTGAGATCCCAACTAGCAGTGAAAAGACTCTCCTGAAACTGACACTTATCCATGACGAAATGGCTGTATTTTCTACATACTCCATCTTCTCATAGGTGACATTCTTGATCTGCAAGATAAGAACATGGAGTTCTGATATGTTGATGACTCGATACTAATATTCAGAATAGATCATTTACGTAACCATCTACCTAAACGAACTCAAGATGTATTGAGTTAATAGGGGTAGATTCTTCGAAGTATGTCTAGTCTCGTCAAATATACCAGGGATGTGGGCCATGTCTCATTGTTCGAGAGGGCTCACGTGATGTTATCGATATCACAAAGCTAGCTAAGTACAGGTATAATAAGAGAGATGATTAGTATACACGAACTAAGTGCAAGGAAAATACGGACGGTAAAAGGGATCAGCATGGGGCAAACAGATGCTAAAGATTAGCCCTACGACAACTCTTTACGACTTGAAGCTTACTCCTACACAGAACAATGTGCACGGCGCCATCTGACAAATACTACATCCGATCCAATAGATTGGCATTCAATTTACAAACTGTCTATCTTATCCTACGCCACTATAGTTACTGCACAGCCATTCAGGCCCCCCGGTTATGTCATTACGTATCCTCTGATCGGCTCGCAAGAGCGAGCACAAGCTACTCGCCAAGCGCTACCATTGGCGCTAGTCCAGCTCGCGGGGGACGGCGATGGCGGCGTCTGAATCATAACATGAACCCTTGGACATGCCATGGCCGCCCGTTGCAGGATCGCATCCTACGACGATACCATCGGTACACTATGTGTGGCTGGAACAAAGTCCCGTCCTTCCCCAAGCAGCAACACAAACACTATCCGCACGTCGGGAATCTAACAGCGAGATTCCAGTTTTTTGCTTTACCCGCTGCGCCTGCATTTTGAGCCCCTCCCCGCCCCCCGCTCATCCGCCCCAAAACAGACACCATGGCATTGTTTGTTCTGACTGATGATGACAATGTCGCAGACAAGGCTAGGTTCGACCGACTGGGTCATGCAGGCCCGGAGGCAGTATGCAGGTGAGTCACGACGCGCGCGCGCGCAACTCGCGCTATTGTTGAGGCTTGGGGGTATCCCTTACTAGTCCCGAAAGCTGGAGCTGTCATGTGGTTTGTCTTTTTCCTTTTCGACCATGTCCGGACCATAACCCAATTTTTTGGAGCCTCTGAGCCACTGGTACTCTAGTACACTCGACGACTTGCCAATGCGCAGAGGGGAAAAACGCCTTGTTGGGGCCGCTTGTGCAAGCTGAATGTCTGGATGGCTGAGGGGGAGACTGATTGATTTCCCCGCTTGTCATCGGTGAGTGAGAGACGGGACGGGGGGTAACGAGTCGAGTGTATTGGGCTGCTGACATGTGCGACTCGGTCTACCTACCGTGCATGCGGGGATGCGCTAGATCGAAATCTAGATCCGGGTCCAGTCAAGATGGGAAATGTGCGAAATGCGCTTTGGGAATATGGGGCACGGCTGGACGCCCTTGCGTCACGCATGAAACATGGTACGGCTTTCTTTTTCTTAGTATTCCACACAATCGTGGTTTTGGATGCAGCTCGGTTAGGGCGATTCGTCATTCTTTACCTTTTCTTTTGTCATAGTTTGCCCTCGTATTCTGGGGACCTGATGCTCAATGGGGCTGATCGTATCGGATCAGACTATGCTTGTTTTTGCATCTCTGTAACACAACCTGTCTTTAGCAACTCCGAGGAACAGAATGCCTCAACGGCAGGTGCAATAATTAATCCAGATGAGGCTTTCTCTAGTGGTGATCTTTGCTTACATCAAAGTCAGGTACCGAAGTACCCCATAATGGACATGTCTTGGGCCAGATACCGACCCCTCAACACCCTTTGAAAAAGCCGTCCCGTACCGCCACGAGCCTGCTTTTGTCCACCAAGATGACGGATCTAAGCCACTGCCGTGTGAACTTCCTGATTCAAGTTGGGCCAACTTGGCAATAGCTACAAGTGTCGTATCTACCGTTTCTTATTCAGCCACGTCACGAAACTCGGATAAACTTCTCCATCATGCCAGCTGGGCGCCAAAGGTGACAAAAGAAAGTAGAAGGAATGGTTCAGCCTGCCAAGTCCATGGTTCGCACCAGCTGGTTGTGTGTAACTTGCAAGGCAACAGTAATACTTGACCAAGTACCTGGTGTTACACCCGGTACCTTGCATGCACGCAAAGATGACGAACAAGCTCCCATTCTTTGTAAAACTCAGCCCGGAAAACTGAGGATGCACTTCGTACAGGCAACTAGCAGGAAGCGCGGCCCTGTCAGCCCCAGGACCTTGGGTCCTCAAAGCAAAAAGAATAAGCTTCTTCCCCCACCATCGCCTTGGTACCGACCCTACCGGTGCCATGCCAAGCTCTTTTGTTTTTTCTCACCCTTCCTTTCTTGGATACACCGGTGAACCAAAGACCTCGGGGAAACAGGGCGAGACATGAAACAATCTTGTTCATACTATCTATGTAGGTCGGTTAGGTTGCTACTGAAGCATTGTCTGTACTGCGCCTCCGCGGTCAAAGCAAAGTGCATATCAAGATGAGTATAGTCTAGAGATAGAAACAATCCCAGACTGTGGAGATGGAGATCTCCCGATCTACTCAGACGCCACTGGAAGCTGGATCTCGATGGGATGAAGCAAAAGTTGTCAAGTCAGACGCCACTTAGATCGCCGGTTCTTGGTTGGAAAGGGCACATGAACATGCTCCAATGATACTGATGCCGAATACTGCGTGTTTCTCGGGACCGTTGTTTTGTGGTGCCGGGGTTCTAGATGTAGATCAGGCGTGCTTGTGCAACTTGTCTATGGGACCGAGGGTACAGATCCACGCTAATGTCAGGTCTCTGGGTGCTGAAGAATGATGCAGGAACCGCCCAAAGTTTAACGGAGTACGACGTGTGCGTGGGCTGGTGTGACGTTATGCAGCCATGCTACAGTCGATGGGCGTATATAGTGTTTTTGCAAGCTGGATCTGGGTACCACAGAGGACTGTGGATCAGTGGTGAGGATTTCAAGTGTGTGCAACAATTAGCCTTTGATTGGAATCTATTCATATTATTGTCTTTCGTAGGTAAGATACACGGTGCCTGAATACTGCTGTAATTGTAGAGCAGCACAGGCTTAGTACTCTCGATTTATGCTGCCTGTTTGCTGTAATTCAGAAGCTGATAATTCACCTTTCTGAAAAGTGACTTGAGAACATCACCCACAGTCTTTTGCACCTCCCATTTCTCCTATAGTTACACACTCTGTAGTCAATTTAGTCCAAAAAACTCTTTTATTTTATATTCCTGTATGTGTTTACGCAGAAAACTGTTACATCGCTCAAGATTACTCTATAATCAATAACATCCACACGAACACATTCGACACAAAATGCAGCAATCATCTCCCTTCATCTACCTAGTATATCCATAATCACTGACATCTATTGAATGCATTTATGGATACCATATCTACGTTAACCAAGTTCGTAATAAGCAACCAAGTAATCTAGGGCTGCAGATCAAGTTGATGAATTTCAGGGAAGCCTGGATTGCTTCACCACAATCGGGTAGAATCTACTTCAAGCCCAAATAATTGTATCACAAACTAATCTTTATGTAGTTTACCCGCTAATATTCCATATTGAGATAACACTCAATTCTTCACCAGGAAAGCAAAATACGCGTTTTCCATGTAGTTCCGTTCAGAAATAAAATGTACGCGTATCATTGAGCACAATGAGAAAAATATCATGACTATATCTGTTGAAAATTATTGCGAATCATATCCAGCCTGGGGTCTTAATCTTATTGTACGAAGAGCATTACTATGCTTCAATCCCATGATAGCTGATCCGTTGTCAGTAGTTATATGCCAATTAATGTTTGTACAGTAGGATAGGTTGTGATTAGTTGCACTTATCGAGGGGTTGAGCAATATGCTTGACTCTATAGATCGCTATTTATCTTTTTACTGTACTTCCATGCGGCAAATATACTAATTCTGATTTAAATACAGGCAGTAACCAGCACGCGAAGTAGAATTGTTGCACTGAAATGAACTGTAGCGTTTATTTATCCTCTTTCAGAATAGTGCAATACTGTTAGTACATAGGGGAGGCATAATCCAAGCCGGTATCTATTCTGACCAGCGCTTAGGTCCATTATCGTTCTACGAGTACATTTATTAGTCGAAAGGCATACGCTATCGATCCAAAAATATAAGAGCTGAAATAAGAGGCAAGGAGTCAAGGAAAGACACTAATACTCTGAATCACCGCTTTGGACGCTGTAGAATTATAAGGGGTGATCTAATAGATTCAGCTGGGAAGATACAGGACATGCCGTCACTTCCGAGCATCTTCTGTACCCCGCTTGCGACACTGCAAATTTTTCATGAGCATAACTTCTTTACAAACAGAGAGATTGTTGCGTTATATAATTTTGGGACTATGATGCCAGAGACCTGTACCGCTATCTTGATTGAATCCTTTGACTAGTGGACGGATAGACAAGCCCAGTTAGTGCAGCCGTGCATAGACGTTCGATACGGCAACCAATACGAAGTCATACACTTTTACTCTAATAGTTATATAGATGTACAAAGAAAGAAACAGTATTGGCTTACAGTGACGACACAAATACTCGCACGTACTTGACGTACTTTCTTACATCACTCTTGGCATCTTTAACCACCTGCATATCCATGCATCTGGATACTCCCCATCATGACATGACATTGTAGTCAGAACCACAGAAATGCAGAGAACACTACAATCCCTAGTAAAAACCCCACTCCATATACAAAGACCCATGCTAAATCTCCCAGGATCTTGGCCGACATCAAGATTTAGCGCGGCTAACACGCCCGTACACCCTCCTCATAACCATTCCTATAGAACCCAGCTCAGCAACTACAATCAGCTACTGGGCACCGCCTGAATTCCAACCACATCACTTTCAGCTCCGTACGACCCTGAAGCCAGCTCAGATCCAACTCGTCCAATCCCATGAAGATCATGGCATCGTGCGCATTGCAGCCCGCGAACCTGATCTCGCAAATTTCTTCCACCAAAAACTTGAGCACCTTCAGACGTCCTCGCACGATGCAAATATGGTCTCAAAGCTCGTCGCCAATCTGCGGTGCGAAGAGGTGAACGAGGGAGCCGCGCTTCATATCTTCAGCATCCAAATCTTGGGCGACGAAAGCGGGAATCTTGTTCCAGAGGGCTGTAGTTTGTTGTGGAAATGGGCCAAAGAGCAGAGTCCGTATCGTAAGTCGGGGTCTTGGGATCATAGGCTGGTTCAGGTGTTGGTGGATGCGGAATGGACGGCGGGGAAAAGTATTGTAATTTTGGCAAAAGGCGTGGATGAGGAGGAGTATGAGAGGGTGGTGAAGGGGGCAATCAAATCCTAGTGGTGTGCTTCCATTTAATATTCATGGGCGTATTCACTTTGCAGCAGCGACAGGACAATAGGCCTGTTCACTTAAACTTGGGCGAGACATCATATATAGATTTTCGTAATTTTGGCGATTTTGTTTCAAGTATCGCCTGTTACCTCTACATGGCCTAAAAAGACTATGATTATTATTTTGCAATAAGAAAATCGAAAACGAAATGTAAACCCAAAAGAGACACGATGTTCCCATGCACGAGACAGCTCAACACGCTCTCACGTTACCAAGCTACCCCACACCGAACCCGCCCCGCCAAAACCGTGCCCATGTAAACTTTCCGCCGACCTTCACAAACCAGCGCCCAGCAAAGCTCCGCGCAACCACCACTACACAACGCACCATGGCCTCGAAGCAAGGCGGCCAACCCGGCCAAAGTAAGTCCCCTTGTCCTCCTCCCTCCAATTCTCCAATGCGCAAAACAGCAATCGCAAAAAGAATACGACAAGAGAACAGTGCTAACACCACCAACCACGCAGTCGAAATAACCGCCCTCCCCGTCCCGCGCCTCCAAGAACTAAAAACCCAACTCGACGCCGAACTCACCCACCTCTCCAACTCCTTCCAATCTCTGCGCACCGCCCAGTCAAAATTCAAAGACTGCCTCACCTCCATAACCACGGGCCTCACGGCCAGCACAACAAACAAGCCGCTGCTCGTGCCCCTTACATCATCGCTGTACGTGCCGGGCAAACTGACAGACCACGAGCACGTGCTCGTAGACGTGGGAACGGGGTTTTTCGTGGAAAAAGATATTCCGGGTGCGAAGGATTTTTATGAGCGAAAAGTCAAGGATCTAGGAGAGAGTTTGAAGGATTTGGAGCAGGTGGTGCAGGGGAAGGCGCAGAATGTGAGGATGGTGGAGGAGGTGATTCGTTTGAAGGTCATGAGTGCTCAGGAGGGTAAGGGGGAGGAGTAGGGGAGCTGAAGAGAGAGGGTTATGGGAATGAGGGTATGCTTGTTTACTTGACTGATGACATTGAGTGCAAACATGAGATACCTGGAGAAAAGACAGTTATGGTTACGTACAATGAGGTCTGAAAATGGCTCATGAAACTAAAGCTGGGTTACTGATGTCCAGACATGAATCTGGATGGTGTAAATAAAGTACATTCCATGCATCAGGTTGCGAAATATAGAAACTGAATGCATACCGCTCGATGCACAGATTCTCATTTGTTTCCACTACCCGCATAGTGCCGGTTTCCATCCTCATATAGCAACACCTCCCTCATCTTTCTTGACCGAACTGACAACGGCCGAGATCTGGAGCAGCTTGTCTACCAGAATGCGGATGCCATCCTGAGGAGGCGCTTCAGTGTCAGAACCAAGATCGAGGTTACTCAAGCCCAAGTTCTTGTCTTCGTCGGCATTGTTGTATGAAGTCCGTCCATCTTTTGGTAGAAAACTGGTAATGGTATTGCCCCAGTTAGCCTTGCGACCGGTAGGAAGATGCTCCAGCTCTGAAAGACGATTTGCCCACTCGGTATGACGAACAGCAAGACTCCACACTGGCTGCCGATCCGTATGCCATATGCGTGCGATTTCGACCTTGTAGGATGTCTCCTTGATTCCGAAAGAGTACATGACAATCAAACGTTCAGTCACTAGGTAATCCTTGACAGCCGGTGATTTCTCCCATTCAGCAAAGATGTCGGTGGACTGGGGATTGTAACCACGTTTCATCCTCAGACCCTCAACAAATCGGGTAAGGAGGGGTGACATACTCTTTGCTGACACAGGTTTTATGGACTCAAGTGAAAAATGCCACCCACGGCCCTCTCCTAGTTCCAGTAAGTTGATATCCATGTGCTGCTTGGGACCTACAGTGCCTGTCTTCAGCTCATAGAATCGCGGCGTGTCCTTCTCATAAAAACCTTCATTATCATCAGTCCAGTCAACTTGGATCATGATGAGCTTTGGTGGCACAGTCACAGGCGTTTGGCCGGAAGTCGCTGGTCTCCCAG